AGCCCGAGGTGAAACTGGTAAAGATGGGTGATTCTTACACTGTAATTATCAATTGAGTGTAACGAAGGGTGCAGAAGAATGAATAATTTGATAGGGGTGATAATAGGCGGGTATAGACTGGTAATGAATTACTGTGAATATACAGTGAAAATACAACGGCAAAAAATCTTCATGAATATGAGCTCTTAGCGAAGCAGTTGAGTACGGAATATGCACTTACTGCGCAGATGTTCAAAAACATCTACGTAGAGCAGTGTGTGATATTAAAGTTTGGAACGTTTCAAGGAGAACGCAAAGGAATGGCGTAGCAAAGGGAAAGATGTTGCAATAGAACCGTTGGAAGGACGAGGCTTGGTGGCAGTTCAAGGCTCGTTTTTTTTTGAACTGCTGAATTTCTAAGCAGAGTTTCCGAAACGTTTGTGTAGTCATTTCACAGTCTCACAATCAGCATAATTTTACTTTGACACGAATGTCACAAGTTTCCTGATTTCTGCGGCGATAATGTTTTTTGGGATTTTAACAAGTCCATAACATTTTTGAGAAAAATTTTGCTCAAACCTTTGTTGATGAAGTCTGAGTAAATGAGATCGCATTAAAGGTCCGGAAATGAAGAAACTACTCGAAAAAGAGACGGATTTCGATCTGAGTAAACTCTATTTTATGAACTCAACGATTGGGAGCGTGTGCGGCATTCCGGATTGTCGCATAACTCGTTGTGGATATACTGGAGAGGATGGAGTTGAGGTAGTAGACACCTTGGTTTTGTGACCTTATGAATACTTCGAATGAAGCATATGAACTCATTTTGTCGAGCCTGGATTTCAGAGTATAGCAAGTGATTTGAAAGCGAAAATTTCCAGTGTTTGTCATCCCATCGTCATTGAATCGACGATGCTTCATTGACCAAGAGCTTGCAGATCTCAGTAGATCCGAAACAAGCAGCTGATTTGGTCGAGAGGCTAATGAAATCATCTCAAGCCAGCGTGCGATTGGCTGGATTAGGAGCACGGGATGCACTTCGTCTTGAGGCTGGATTATGCTTGTACGGCAACGATATTGATGAGAACACGACGCCGATTGAAGCCGGAATCGCGTTTGTCGTAGGTTAGTGGGAATGGCGTTTGGATTCCGTTTGCCTCTGTCTTAAGCATTTGTGGTTTTGATCGGGAAGATTATTCTTTAATGGATGTATATATGCATGCACACCAGCAGACATGTACAGATCGCAAATGTAATTCTTAATTCAATCAGTTACCCTCCTATGCCGAAAACAGTTTGCTGTTGATGGTGCTTCCTGAAATTTCTTCTGGAAACGATCGTTTCGATATGCTTCCGTTTCAGCTAAACGCCGTCGACAAACCAAAGACTTCCCAGGTGCCGAGAAAATTGTCTCCCAATTGGAGAAGAAAAACTGGCCAAAACGAAGAGTTGGAATTATTTGTGATAAAGGACGTGCGCCGAGAAGTGAGAAATTCTTTTGTTTTCTCCTCAGAAATGTTTCTGAAACCTCGATACAAAACGTTGTATTCACTGTAACCGTTACTGAAGGATGACTATTTCACCGTTTCACCAAGCAAATCATTAGAAACGTTGTTGTTAAAATTGAATGCAAATTGGCCTAATAGAAACGATCAATCTGCCCAATCCACATCAATCGATATGAATATGAATATCGATTTGGAAGGTCGTGTTCAATTGCAGGTCATTTGCCAGTAATTGATCCAGTGACTAAGGCATCTGTCGGTGTAGTGACATCAGGATGTCCGTCGCCAACGCTTCACAAAAGTATCGGTATGGCGTATGTGGATCGACCGGATTCAAAGCCAGGCCGTGAGCTGGTCATCGATTTTGGCACGAAACAGCAGAAGATTACCGTCACAAAAATGCCATTCGTTCCGACCACCTATTACAATCCTCCAAAATAAACAAACAACTGAAGCATCGCATCGTTCTCGCCCAAAAAAAAATCCTCATTGATGAGAATGCATCCGAACATTCTCATTAATCATTTCATCATTAACTGTGATCGCTTCCTAGCCTTTAGCGTCTTACGAATATAGCGTAATCGTTGCGTAAAGCACAAAAATTATCGTTATCAAAGACCTTGTTTGGGTTGAGATGCAAATTACAATTAACGGAAATATACTTTCAAACATAAATTTCAATTCAGAGAAATTTCTGCTTTCTTGTTGCACTGACCATCAGACTATTTGGTTGCAAAATTGAGTGCTTCATACCGGGTTATAATCTACGGGGAACATTCCAATACATTTTCATTGTTCAGATTGCTATTTTTTGTATTGCTGCATAGAGATCGCTTTCTTTCGGGTTTCATTTCTTCACTGCTATTGCAAATTTATGCATTTATGCGTGCGATCCTGAGTTAACATAACGATCTTCATGTCGTCAGGAAACACACTGAAGAGAATCTTTGTTGATTGAGATGGGGAACTTGTTCGGTGGATGAAATCGTTTTCGGGTTTTCTTTTTCCATTTCACAGCCATATCAAGTTATATTACTCTAGTAGTGTGAAAATGTATTTGTCAGGTGTATTGTTTTCGAAGTACTGCTCCGAATGTCTTATTGAATATTTTTTCTTCGTACTTCCGGTGTTTTCCTCTTACGGCGATCATTACTTCTCAATTGAATATGTTTATTATGAATTTTGTTTAGGAATAAAATATTTTATTGTGTAATCGAATAGGTGCATAACGGCTGCTCAGAATCTATTCGATATAATTTCTCTGTTCAAGAGACGTGCATTCGAGTCTATTTGGCGATATAAATTGGAACCGTGCAGTAGTAGTGGGAAAACACCTCGGAAGAATCACTCATGCGATCGGCTCAACAAATAAGATATATTCTCTATGGTATATATATTTTTCAAAAAAATAAGATATATATTCTCCACACTGTGGCGATTGCTTTCTACTTTGAACGAACTTGGAATATTTACTAACAATAGATCAATGAGTATTAGATTTTACACAATAAATATACGTTCTCATATTCTCTATAATAAATATTAAGGTACGCACAAAACTAGGTGAACACTTCAGTG